TGCTGCCGTTGCTCTAGTTAGCGTGCTGGGATCAAAGATCACACGACTTGGAGTCTGCGCCTCTAGACTCCTGCCCCAGCACTGTTTGACCTTGGACAAGTCATTTAAGACTGCATGAGCCTGACTCCTCATCAGTAAAATGGGCATCATAACAACTACCTCAGGACTCCCTGGGTGGCGCAAACGGTTACGCGCTAGAACACAAACCAAAAGGTTGGCAGTTCGAACACACTCAGAGGTGCCTCAGAAGACAGTCCTGGGGATCTGCTTCCAAACGGTCACGACCTCGAAAACTCTATGAAGCAGTTCTACTCTGCACACGTGGGGTCGCCATGAGCTGGAATCAACTTAATAGCAACTGACAACGACAATAATAACTACCTCAGGGGGCAGTGGTGGTCCAGGAGTGGAATTCTCACCTTCCATGTGGGAGATCCAGGTTCAATTCCTGGCCAAAGTACCTCATGCTCACCCTCTGCCCATCTGTCAGTAGAGGCTTGTGTTTTGCTATGATGCTTGCTGAACAGGTTACAGCAGAGCTTCTAGACCAGTACAGACTAGGAAGAAAGGCCTGGTGATCTACTCCTGAAAATCAGCCAGTGAAAACCCTCTGTTGTGCACGGGCTCACCACACATCGGGCGACTCAATGACAGCTACCAACAGAAACTACCTCAGAGGATCACTGCTGGAAACACTCTATGTGGGGTAGAATGAAAACAGAAGGCCCTTTGGATGTTAACAAATTAGACGAGTGTAGAGTTGTTTTCCTGCTATATTCTCATTCCTCAGATCCCTAAAATAGGACGGCAGCTGAATTTGGCTTTCTGAAAACTTGCCTCCGATATGGAGGGAGGGAGGAGATGTTTCTATCATGGGATATCTCAGAAATTAACAGTCTCTGATGAGTGGTTACTAGCTTGGCTGCTAACCAAAAAAGGTTGGCAGTTTGAATCTACCAGCCGCTCCGTGGAAACTTTATGGGGCAGTTCTACTCTGTCCTGCAGGGTCGCTATGAGTCGGAATTGACTCGAGGGCAACAGGACGCTCATACAAGCCCAGCTTCTGCCTGAAAGAGTTAATTTTCCAGGAAACAGCCAAGGGATGGTG